CTCGGGTTGCACATTCAAAGATACCGAGGCATTAGCGGGATTCATGGAAGGTCCGGTGTAACCAGTACGGGCATGATTATCGCCACGATTGAAATGGAGAGCAACCATGTCTTGAATATGCACTATGTGGACCTTCAAGAATGATAAAAAGAACAGCAAAGGTATTACAAAATCAAAAGGCCCTCGGCAATGGCTCCGGTGTGTATCTACTTTCAGAGAAGGTTCTACTTTCGTCTTTTTCGAATCAGAGGTTACATCTACATCAGAATGTGAAGAAGATAACCAAGCTTTTGTGTCGTGGAATACTAGATTGGTTCTCAATGTCACTCCCTCAAACAATAGCCGATTTCGCGGTGACAGCGAAAGTCTCCTCCCGGTGGCCGCGGACACGCCCTGTTTCAAAGCCTCGCACCAACATAACCTCTCTATATACTTCAACTATAGTGAGAATGTAGGTATTTGTTTGTAGAAATATATCTACGTAAGTGTTGGAAATTGAATATAGGATGAAATGAGGACTTGGTGGTCTGAGGAACATGACCCACACCCATTGATGAAGTCAATAACTGGTTTACAAAGGGTGATGAACCTAGTGAACTGATGCGAAGGTCACCATGAAATCAGGGGGTCTGGCTTCCATTGATGCTGGAAAGTGGAAAGTGGAAAGTGGGAACCATGGAAGGAAGAGAAAGAAGGCAAAGAGCAAGAACCCCTGCCTCGTGTGTATTTTATCACTCTGTCCCTTTTAAAAAAATCATTTCCCCCTCTTCCTCATAAGGCCATTGGATCCCCTTTTTATATCATGACTTTCACTTTACTACCGAAAATTTTGGAAAAAAACCATGGAGAGCAACCAACTACTTCTCCTTTGATTTCGGCGGTGGATTCTTCCCCCACTAACAGAAAATGGCCTTCTCTCCCATAACTACCTGCCTTGCTGACCTCTTTATGTGGCTAAAAAATCTGATTTTGTTTTCTCTGTTATGCGGTTACACGTACGAATCTGAGCGGTTCGGGTTGGGCTTTGTAAAACAAAATTAATATTAATAATAATAATAATAATAATAATAATATATTAATAATAATCTATTATATATAAAAATTCAAAAAAATTATATTATATTACTATAAATATATATATATATATATATATATATGGAAAAAACATATCCGAACGAAAATAAGTGTCTACAATTTAAAACATATATTATTTTATATTCACCTTAATTTTTTAAAATAAAAATTGATTTGATACACAGATTGCCTTCATTCATTCTTTTGAAGAGATGCTAATACTAGTTAATCATTTTTTTAATTTTTGGTTGCACTTAATATATAAAATTATATTTTTTTAATTTTTAATATTCTTATTTTATTTTATACATAATTATTTTGTGTTTTAATTTTATTTTGATCACATAAATTGGTGAATTATCGGTTCGCATTAATATGATTTTTTAAATAATTGAAGTTTTGAAGTATAAATTCCAACGCAAATTAAATCAATTTCCAATGCAAAATGTTTGACCGTACAAAGTCCAACTCCAAAAAAACAATACTATAAATTCCAATCAAAGCCCTTGAGATTTTCAGGTAACCAAAAGCTTCAATGGAAAATGGGTGCCCTTTCTCTCTTGTACTGTCTGATACTGACAGTCTCTGCCTCTCTTGGTTCATCCCACTCTCTGCCATCGCCCTCGTGATTCTTCAATCCGCTTTCTCATTTAATCCTTTCCAAAAAACTACAATTCCTTAATAATCCAAACAAGAAACAAAACCACCCCCCAAAGTTGAAACTTTGACATTATTTACTCTTACCTGCCTTTGAATTTGACCCATAATCTTTCTCTCCTTCTTCGTTCGTTTTCCAAACTTGATCTTCTTCTAATTATGAAGTGCTTTCATTCAGTAACGGGGACAGGCGGAACGTGGAGACGATGGGGGGCCGCGTCGCTGCCGTTTCGAGGGTCGTCGTCGAAGTGACGTGGACGGGTCATTTAGCGTGGCGTCGAGCAGCGTCGGTAGAGTCGTTCGGAGTTCGACTCCGAGTCGACCAGGGACTTGGCCTCGGATTACTTGACCGTGGGTGGTTTCTACGATCCTGACTCAGCGTCGAGCAAACGATCTGCGGGCTTTTACATTCGCCGAGCTGAAATCTGCTACCCGTGGGTTCAGTAGAGCTTTTGATCGGTGAAGGCGGGTTCGGATGCGTTTACAGAGGTGTCGTTAAAATTCATGATGAAGCTAATGACTGTCGTAATTTAAAGTTAGATGTCGCCGTCAAACAACTCAATCGTCACGGTTTCCAGGCATAGCCCCACTCATCCCTCGTCGCTTCCCATTTTACATATCCGTTTGAAATACATAACTTTTGATGTTCAATTTAATTGCAAAATACGTATAATCCATAATTATGAGAAGCTTAATCTTGCTTATAAACTGCATAACAATGTAGTTGTACACGTTAAGAATTTTAAATTTTGTTATTACTAAAGTATAAATCATAGTTGAATGTCTTTTGCTTTGCTTTGCTAGTATGCAGGGGCATAAGGAATGGATCAATGAAGTGAGCCTTTTGGGTGTAGTTAAGCACCCGAATCTTGTAAAATTAGTGGGATATTGTGCTGATGATGATGAAAGAGGGATTCAAAGCTTTTGGTCTATGAACTTATGCGTAACAAAAGCTTGGAAGACCATTCTTGGCTCGGATGCATTCATTGCCATTGCCGTGGTTGACAAGATTGAAAATCGCTCAAGATGCCGCCCGGGGTTTGGCTTACCTTCATGAAGAAATGGACTTAGGTATACCTTTTTATCGATGTCTTAAAAACTCAAATATTAGCTTCAATCCTTACTGTCAACGATGCGGTTTGTGTTCTCTTCATGATTTTGGTTTGTTTTTTATTTGTGCAGCTAATATTTCGGATTTCAAGACGTCGAATGTTCTACTAGATGAGGACTTCAACGCTAAGCTCTCAGACTTTGGGTTAGCTAGACAAGGACCTTCTGAAGGGTTTGGCCATGTTTCTACAGCATAGGTTAATCACCTTTGTTTAAGCAAACCATAGTATTACTATATTTAGATGTCATGATATCTGATTTAATAGTTTACACCTTAGAAATTTAGTTCTTGCAGAACCTAAGTAGTAAACTATCACGTTGAGACGTCTTTTTAGTTGGATCATGGATATTAATTGCTGCTTTTATTGTTTCAAAAACTTTTTTAAGGTTGTCGGGACAGTAGGTTATGCTGCCCCGGAGTATGTGCAAACCGGTAGGCTAACTGCTAAGAGTGATGTTTGGAGCTTCGGGGTGGTTCTATTCGAGCTCATCACCGGAAGGCGAGCTCTAGAAAGAATCTACCTCGAAGTGAGCAGAAAGCTCCTGGAATGGGTGAAACCTTATGTATCTGATTCGAAGAAATTTCCCTCATCATAGATCCTCGCCTTGAAGGACAGTATTGCATCAAATCCGCTCAGAAACTAGCATCCTTAGCGAACAAATGTTTATCGAAAAACCCAAGTCCCGTCCTAGAATGGGTGAAGTGGTTGAGATGCTAGGCAACATCATTAGTGAGACTTCATGTCAAGACGAAGGTGTGTCTCGACCAGTCCGTGAAAATGAAGATGTAAAGGAAGAAAGTGGAGTAGAGCTCGAGGCTGAGTCTACCAAACAAGGGCACAGTTACCTGAAGAAGGTTAGAGATATCAGAGAAATAATAAGTTTAAGAAACAAATCAATTGGGAAGTTAGATTGGAGAAATTGGACACCCGGACTGGTGAGGACTTGGTGATGACCGATGACGAGATCGCAAACGGGAAGGAGAAATAGATAAGCCTCTCATACTGTTGAATGAGTGCATTATCAAATACATTAGCAGTGGGTAGCATGAAATATTGATATTATTTTCAAGTTAATGAAGGATTAGTGGAGTGGGATATATTTCTTAGCAAGACTTTCAAGTTTTTTGCATCACATCGCATTATAGATAAATTTGAAAGGTCTAATGAAGATTTTTCGGTAATAATAATAATAATTGAAAGTAGCAGTCTATGCAAGTGATGTCACACGTTTTTGACAACAGAAATCTTTCAACAATATGGATTTCACCTGTTATGTTGCGGAGTCCAACAAATTACTAAAACCTCTCAACTTTCAAGCAAAAATTTCTATTAAATTATACTTTTCAATAAATCAATTCCATTCTTTGACTGGTATTTCAGAAGCAGCGCCAGGGCTTGATTTTGATACACAGAAGTAACACATGGTTCATAACTTACTGCAATAATATCTTCAGCAAGTGTCAAAAACTCTGGATTCTTGTTTTGGTTTATTTCATAACATATAAAAACACAAACATGATACCGCTAATATTTATGCCTTAAGGTGTGTATATAGTTATAATTTTTTGAAAAAAAAAGAAATCAATTAAAATTTTGAATTTTTTTTATTTTCAATTTAACCGTTAAATCAAAAAATTAAATTAATAAAGTTTTTTTTAATTACACAATCAAATTAATTAAGTCTTTTGATTAATTTTGTTTGTTAAATTTTAATATATTTTTTATCAAAATATTATTGTCATATGATACTGTAATTATGCAATGTGAAATTTATAATTTAAAAAAAATTAAAAATATATAAAAAAATTAATAAAACTTTAAAAGTGATCATTTGATAATCATGATGTGCTATACGACATAATAAAAAAACTAATTAAATTTAACGATTAATATTAATCAAAAGGATGAATTTATAAGTCTTAAAAGTATAGAGAGGTTTTTTTTATATAAAAAAAATTTAAGGCTTTTGAAGTTATGAAGACAATATTTATTATCTTAAAACATTATTGAAAAACTAACAAAATATAACATGTATTGTCTTTGGACTAGCTTTGAGGTTTTGTGGTGCTATTTCAACTCCATTTTTAATTTCATAAAAACGTGATACAAAAGTAACGAAACCCTCTGTTGGCTAATCTGGAAGGATTTACAGCATTGCACATTCCCCTTGTTACAGTGGAACTTGCATTTTTATTGGATTGGTTTTGATTACATTAGCTAAAGCGAGAAGTGTACAGTCACCAGAGGCTTAAAAAGTATATGGCTCAGCTCAGCTGTGAAAATTGTTATGAAAATACCTCAAAGGGAAGCAGCTTTCATGGTGTGCGTTATCAGGCATAAAGAGGGGAAGCAGACGGCCGAGGGTATGCGGCAATGCTCCTCCCATTGTTAGCATCACCGGTACTTCGCCTGCGTATCCGGGTGCGTTGCTAATATTGTTCTGATGACCTCCTGATTCACCCGAATCCTGGAACTGCTCCAATGCTGTTACAACCTCATTCATGCGCGGTCTGAATTTGGCTTCAGTAGACAGGCATCGCAAAGCAAGGGTAGCGGCCTTTAAGGCTGCTTCCATTGAATACCGGCCTTCAAGGCGGTTATCTACGACACGGAATATTTTACGTTTGTTGGTCAGGTATGGTCTGGCCCATTCCACTAGATTATGCTCTCCGGACGGTCTATTCTTGTCGACTGCTCTGCGGCCAGATAACATCTCTAGCAGCACGACTCCAAAACTATAGACATCACTCCTAGCTGTCAAATGGCCTGCAGTCGGAGAAAATGTCGGAAGTTACGCTATCTGTTGCCTAGATATTTACGTCATCAATAAATACTAGAAGCACTGTCAAAAGTCTAGGCTCCATAGGTCTACCAAAGCCGATGAAAACCGATTTGGTGAACCAAATGGAGCACCCGGAAATGATAATAAGTACCTGTGGCTAGATACTCTGGAGCAGCATATCCATATGTCCCCATGACTCTAGTAGAAACATGGCTCTTATCACCTGTTGGTCTTAGAGATGGTAAACGGGCGGGTCAGGTACGAATATCCCATCCCCATATTCATACTCACCTAATATTTTTCAATATACCATCCGTCAACCACTCATGATGGGTACAAATTTTCAAATCCACATCCGCCCACGCGGTTACATTTTCAAATCTATCCCCACACCCACTAGTGACATACCCATCTAGACTCACCTGACAGCAAACTAATGGGATGTTGGAGTTAGTTCCCAGACAGTTCGTGATGGGGTAGCAACGCATGCTTCAATTTGTCAGAGGAGTGGCTCTACGAATGTTATGGAGACAGATTGTAGGAAGCATGTAGTCGCAGAGCAGGATTGTTGAGTTGCTTTCATGTTAATGCTTATAGTGCGCCTAATATGGGTTTTGAGGGGCTAAAGAACATGAAAATTGCTGCTTTTGATGTTAATGCATATACTACGACTAATTTATGTTTGGATGGACAACATGGGCTAAAGAACTTGGACAATGACGTGGTTAGTGGAACTATGAGTTTAATCAAAGAGCCGAATATTTTCCTAATTAAAGACCAGATTAAAGATTAAATATCCTTAATATTTGGTTAAATTATATGTTATATATTATACAATATTAAAATTTATAAATTTATAAATTAGTCTCTAAAATTACACCTAAATTCATAATGGTCTAAAATTTAATAGATATTTAGTTGAGCGGGCGGATGTGGGGCGGGCGGATGCGGAGCGGGTAATGTCTCAAACCCATTACCCGCCCACCACCCACGACGGGTACCACTTTATAAATCCACACCCGCCTATTATCCACTAAAATTATACCCATCCCCGCTCCAATTGGAGCGGATGCGTTACGGAATCCACGAAACTGTACTCGTTTGCCATCCCTAGTTGGTCCATCTTTGGCCAACCCGAAATCAGAAAGCTTTGCATTATAGTTCTGCGATGACATCAAAATAAAGGTTCACAGATGGATTTTTCGGAAAATGAAACAATAATGTTGGTTTAAGAAACCACATACTGAATCAAGCAAGATATTGGAAGTCTTGAAGTCTCGACATATCACTTTTGTTTCCGCACTGTGAAGAAAGGCAAGCCCTTTTGCTGCACCGAGAGCAACCTTCATTCGAAGGCTCCATGAAAGAGGATGGAAATACAAACCTCCTGGTACATAAAATTCGAGTTTTAGGACAAGTAAATTTGTTCAATTTCAGAAGAAAAATGGCAGAGGAAGAATTTACTTCTGAATAAATGATTCTCCAAGCTGCCTCGAGGCATGAATTCGTACACCAAAAGTCGGTGTTCATCCTCTAAGCAATATCCAATTCACCTCTGCCTGTAAGATCACGAAACTTTATTTTAAAACTTTTAAAGCAATTAAGAAGGAAACTGCACAATATTGGCTGTCACCATATACCGAAAGAAGGATGAGATGAAGTGAAAGAGAACTCACCAACCACTCTCTATGACCATGGAACCCTTCCTGGTTAAGCCTTTTCACAGCAATGACAGTCCCAGTTCCAGGCTTGGAAGCAGTTAATGAATTTTCATTGATCCACCCTTTAAACACCGAGCCAAAACCGCCCTCTCCGAGCACACTATCGGGACGAAAATTCCTAGTGGCCATTTTGAGATCAGCAAAACTAAAACTCTTCAAATTGGGGGACTGTAAAATCTCACCCTCACTCCGGGGTGTCAGAGGTGCCGAAAATGATGAGATTTTGCTGCTTGTACTGCTCGTATCTTCCCCAATGCCGCTGACGTACTTTGAACTCAGCCCTCCAGTTCGAAGATGTAATATTGCAGGCATTAGTTAATCGATAAAATCCAATTTAACAAATAGAGTTCCCATTCCTGTCAAAACTCAATCTTCTAATATTTAGTTTCAAACTGAAATGTTAACCAAATTAACGGAAACCAGGATAAGATTTCAGTTAGCTGGTTAGAAATCTAGAAAATATAGTTCTAAGGCGCAAGAACCATATGTTAGCAACAATCAACAATGGTGGCACACTGATACTCTCAGTCTCAGGATCTCAAAGCAAGCTAGAAAAAGAGAAAATATCTATTTGGTAGCCAAGAAAATAAATATTTTTTTTACTGGAACCCATAATTCCTAAATTGCAGCTTAAAAGGTTCACGTCATCCAACAACCAGAATCCCAAAAGAGGAAAGAACATAAGATGAAAGATAGCCAGAAAACAAAAACGGAAGGAAAACATCAAAGTACTTAACTTGGCCATATAAAGTCCAAAGCAACTAAAAACAGAATCAGCTTAATATTGGAATGATGCTCGTAAAAAGGGAAAGAAAAGGAAACTCAAACTACCTGTGTTACTTGGGCTCTCGTTAATCCTGGCACTTAAGCAATTCCCCATCAAATCAAATCCCGGAAACACAAATACCGCCTACACCTGTCCTGCTGAAGATCTTGAAACACAGAGAAAAAAGAACGTTTGGTTATAAGAAACCAAAATTCAAGAATGAAATGAAGCAGATCTACGTTTTAATAACCAGAACTTATCCCTTATATCAAAAAAAAGCACCATAAACACGATCACTTTTCACTACATCAAAGATGAGAAGATAAAAATACATAAAAAACGAGAAGCTAAGCCACCCAAGAAAGAAAAAATAGCGCACCTTACGACTATCGGATAGAGCAAAATCATAACTGATAATTTGAGAAAATAAAAATAAAGATAAAAAAGACACAAAATTTAACGTGGAAAACCCCTAAATAATATAGGGTAAAAACCACGAGCAACAGTAGAAGAATTTCACTATGAGAAAATAAGAATTACAACTTCTCTCAATCTACCAAGGAGAAAACAATGATAATTCTCTCTTGATAAAAAAGAGAAAACAACTCTCAAGAAACTCTCTAAATTCTCTCTAGTATTGGAAGAAAGCTAGAATGCTTTGGGATGATTTTGAAGCTAAATGAGCTAGGGTATTTATAGTTGAAACTTAAAGACTAATCTTATAAATAACCATAAGTTCAATGACTAAATTGTGATTATTCTATTTAACTTTTTCAACAATTTGGTGGCCAATATTTGACCAATTTAGCCGCCCATTAATGATGCCAACTTTTCATCCCATTATGTTGACTAAATGCTGCCAACTTTTAACAATCTCCCACTTGAATATTTGATTGGAACAATAATATCTTCACACCATTCTTTCTACCTTGTACCATCATGTTGCTTATGTTTTTGTCAGGCCACAAGAGGATCGACACCAGCTAAATTTATCAGCGTTGATTGTCTTCGTCATGAAATCTGCTATATTGTCTTTGGTATGGATCTTCTGCATATCTACCGTCTCTTCTTCCACCTTTTCACGAATAAAATGGTATTGAACTCGTATGTGCTTTGTCCTTGAATGAAATGTTGGATTCCTTGCTAGATGCAAGGCGCTTTGACTTTCACAAAACAGAGAGACATACTCTTGATTGTGCCCAAGCTCCTCCAATAGCATCTTCAACCAAATTGCTTCTTTACTGGCTTGTGTAGCTGCTACATATTTTGCATCTGTTGTGGATGTAGCCACAACTGACTGCAATTTTGAAACCCATCTTACAGCTCCACTAGCAACTTTGAACACATATCATGTAGTAGATTTGCTTTTATCCAAATCCTCTGCATAGTCAGAATCTACATACCCATTGATTAGTAAATTTGATCCTCCGTAATATAATGCAACATTTGAGGTCCCTTTGATGTATCTCAGGATCCTCTTTACTGTATTCCAATGCTCTTTGCCTGGATTCGCCATGTACCGACTAACCACTCCCACTGATTGTGCAGTGTCTGGTCTTGTGCATATCATAGCGAACATTAAACTTCCCACTGCTGATGCATACGGTACTCGAGACATCTCCATCATCTCTTTTTCACTGCTAGGACTCGTACTGGAGGATAATTTGAAGTTAATAGGAAGAGGGATAGAAATTGACTTACAATCTTGCATGCTGAATTGTGACAAGATCTTCTTCAAGTAATTCTTTTGTGAAAGTCAAATCTTCCTATTACTTCTGTCTCGGTGAATTTGCATCCCTAGAATCTTGTTTGTTGATCTCAAGTCCTGCATTTCAAATTCCCTAGCCAGTTGTGCCTTCAATTCTTCAATATGATCTTTGTTGGGTCCTGCAACCAACATGTCATCCACATACAACAACAATATAACAAAATCGTTATCACCAGACCTCTTGAAATAAGCACAAGGGTCTGTATTAAGTCTGTTGTATCCAAGGCACATAATGAAGGAATCAAATCTCTTATACCAACATCTCTGTTTTAGACCGTACAGAGATTTGTTCAACCTGCAAACCAAGTTCTTCTTTTCTTTTTCTTCAAAACCTTCAGGCTGGAGCATATAAATCTCTTCTTCAAGATTTCCATGAAGAAAAGTTATTTTAACATCTAGTTGCTCTAGATGTAAGTTCAATGTAGCACACATTGCCAAAACTACTCGAACTGTTGTTAGTCGAACCACATGAGAAAATATTTCATTGAAATCAATACCTTCTTTTTGAGCATATCCTTTGACCACCAATCTTGCATGATACCTCTCAACTTGATCATCACCATTTCGCTTGATTTTGAAGACCCATTTGTTACCAATTGACTTCCTTCATTGTGGTAGTGGCACAAGGTCCCATTTATTATTTTTATGAAGGGCTTCGATTTCTTCTTGCATCTGAGCTGTTTATTGCCTCCTGGTATGTTGATGGCTCACCGTCCTCTGTTAAAAGGCAGTATGCAATATTACTTTCTATAACATAATCTGAGTGCCAATTGGGACGTCTTCTCACACGATCTGATTGACGAGTTGTTGGAGCTTCAGAACTCTCTGGTTCTTGTTCATCATGTGTTGGTTCTACTTCAGAAGAATCTCCTTGTTCAAACTCCTTTTCCACATGTATCTGTGTAGTCTCTGACTTTTCAGCGCTACCATCTTCTTATTTTCTTTGTAGCATATCTTCTAAAAAGATAACATCCCTGCTAATGATCACTTTGGGGGCAGTGGGATCCCATAAGTGATACCCCTTTACACCATCAGCACACCCCAAGAATTTATATTTCCTGGATTTTGGATCTAGCTTTGAAATTTCTTGGGAGTTGTACATCACGTACACAATACTTCTAAATACATGGAGGTTTGAATAATCATTTGGTTTACCAGTCCATATATCCATTGGTGTCTTCAGCTCTATTGCAGTTGATGGAGCTCGATTCACCAAATAACAGGCGGTATTGAATGCTTCTGCCCATAATGATTTTTCTAGGCCTGCATCCCTCAACATTGCTCTTGTTCTTTCTAACAAGGTTCTGTTCATCCGCTCTGCCACTCCATTTTGTTGAGGAGTGTTCGCCACTGTGAACTGTCTTTTGATGCCTTCTTTCATGCAAAAGTCATCAAATTCTTCGCTTGCGTATTCTCCTCCATTATCTGTTCTGAAACACTTGATCTTATTTCCAGAATCAAGTTCCACCCGCGCTTTGAAGTTTTTGAAAGTTGAAAACACATCTGACTTCTTCTTAATAGGGTACACCCAACATCTCCTGGAGTAATCATCAATAAATGAGACAAAATATTTTACTCCACCTAGGGATGTAACAGGTGCTTGCCATACGTCAGAATGAACCAATTCTAGAACACTTTTGCCTCTAGAATTTGACGTGTTGAATTTCAACCGGTGCTGCTTACTTGTTATGCAATGCTCACACAAAGGAATTGTTACCTTTGTTAAGCCTGGAAGTAGCTTTTGCTCCACAAGAACTTTCATTCCTTGTTCTGACATGTGTTCAAGTTTCTGATGTCATAGCATTGTAGAATCTGAACTACATGAGGTAACAGAGGCTTCTGCTTCTATCAAACTCTCTCCCTTCAGCATATACAAGTTTGCAGCTATCTTTTCGCCTTTCAACATAACAAACGCTCCACGGAACACCTTCATGATTCCTTTCCGTGTTTCAATCTTGCTTGCATTATTATCCAATAATCCGTAGGATAATAAATTTTTCTTTAGGCCTTTCACGTGCCGCACATCTCGAACAACTTTAATTGTTCCATCGTACATCTTCAATTTGATGGTTCTCACACCAATGATCTCTAAGGCATGATCATTGCAACTATACACAGATCCTCCTGAGACATGTTCATAATGATGGAACCATTCTCTTCTTGAGGTCATGTGATATGTTGCTCTTGAATCAATGAGCCATATATCTACAAATCTTTTTCTGCCTTCCACGGTGGTTGACGCTTCACAACATAGAGCATCTCCATCATCTGAAGTGTTTGAGGTATTGCCTTGTGGATTGGAGTTTTTATTTAGACTCCAACAATCCTTATTCAAGTGACCCTTATTTCCATAGTTGTAGCACTTTAAATTATTCTTGCTTCTCGACTTCGATCTACCATGCTTGTGACTGCTGCTTTGGCCACGTTCTGTTGATCTCCCTCTCATTGTTGTCAACGCTTCTGCTTGTTGCAAATTTACTTATCTGTCTTCCTTGTTCTTGCGTCGATTTTCTTCTTGTAGAACAGCAGCTGCAACGTCATCGAAGACTAGACTGGTGACATTACTGTTTGTCAAGTTGATAATGAGTTGATCATACGAATCCGGTACACTTTGAAGTAGAAGTTCAGCACGTTCTTGTTCTACTATTTTACAGCTTAAGGATGTAAGTTGAGAAAATAAAGTGTTCAGTGTGTTTAAGTGCTCCGTCACTGAAGTAGATTCTGACATCCGAAGAGTGTACAATTTTCTCTTAAGGAAAATTTTATTGTGCAACGATGTGGCCTCGTACAATTTGGTGAGATGATCCCATATCTCCTTAGCTGTTTTCTTCTCCTCAATGCTTGACAATACTTCATCTGCTAATGCTAGATGAAAGTTTGCCATAGCATTCCCGTCCATTTCGATCTATTTGTTGTCGTCTGTGAAATCTACCGGCCTTTCACTGATAGCTGCTAGACAACCGTCTTTCCTCAGGATGGCCTTCATCTTCAATTTTCACAATGAGAAATTTCTCCCATTAAATTTTTCAATATCAAATTTCGTTGCCATAGCTTCTATTACGGATAGCTCCCACTATTTCACTATTGTGAATAGTTCTCTGGAACCTTGAAAGAATGGGTAATACCTTCTTACTTTCTTATATTGGAGGATCCACCTTTTGGTGGCAACCACAAAGACAATAAGCAGATATTACACACACAAATCTGGCTCGGATACCAATTGTTGCGGAAGACGGCTATCGGATAGAGCAAAATCGTAACTGATAATTTGAGAAAATAAAAGTGAAGATAAAGAAGACACAAAATTTAACGTGGAAAACCCCTAAATAATATAGGGTAAAAACCACGGGCAATGGTAGAAGAATTTCACTATGAGAAAATAGGAATTACAACTTCTCTCAATCTACCAAGGAGAAAACAATAATAATTATCTCTTGATAAAAAGGAGAAAACAACTCTCAATAAACTCTCTAAATTC